CCCCAAAACCCCAAAACCCCAAAACCCCAAAACCCCAAAACCCCAAAACCCCTTTAAGATTCATAATTATAGAAATTATTCAGATAGCTTAAAACTCTCAATTAAAGCGAGATGTTTTAAGATTTCATCTACCTTTGGCTGAGCCAGATCCCTAAGCTCCTCTCTTCGGATTTTGAAATAGTCTTCTTCTTTCTCTGATGGTTCACGGCTAATGTTTATATTAGCTCATATTTGAGCTCTTAGACTACTAAGTTGATGGCTCTCTCTCTTACTTTCCTCTAAGTAACTTTTTATGACCTCAGCACTTTCATGCTCATATGTGCCTTTCCACTTCTTATAATGTAATTCAATAACTCTTACTGCTGATTTCTTGCTGTTTCTCAGTATGAGTTCTCTCTTTGTCTGATTATAAGCTTTTTCCTGTTGAGGAGTCATTTTCATCAAGTCGAGAAAGGTAGTGGCAAAAAGAGTGAGTATAAGAGGCCCGCTCACTCAGATAATGCTTCCTATAACTCTTCCCCAAAAGGTTGAAGGGTAGAAATCTCCGTAGCCCACTGTTGTCATTGTGATTATTACTCAATAGAATGTGTTCCACAAGCTCCAGTCAAATCCTGAATGTTCTTCATATGGCTTCTCTGCAAATCGTAAGAAAATCATGCAAACTGCTGAAGATATCAGAAGAATAACCATTTGAGCTTTGAAAGGGTTCTTCTCAATCATTTCCTTATAAATAAAATAGTAACTTTTAGTAATATTCTTCTCTTCCAGCTCTTGCTTTCCTTTAGCTTTGTCCCACTTAGAGTAAAGAATCACTGTTCTGAAAATATACCCAAGTCTCAGAAGTGTGAGGAGCATTAAGAGTTGGTCCAATCTAAAAAGTGAGGAATTTAGGTACCGGTATTGGATCTTTGCAACATCCTCCTCTATCTCAATCTCCATTCAAACTCCAGGGAACGGATGGATCAGGAGTATGAAGGAGGTGAATACAAGTGAGAAGTTGCGCTTTCTTGATTTATTCTAAACAGTATTATATTCCCAAAAATTCTTCCTTTGTGACTGTAATTAAGCTCAAAAGTTGCAAAGATTTAAAAAATCCGTAAATTTATTCCAGTTATATCCAAAAATTGCTTACATAATAATCTGAACCTCTAACGAAGTTGTTCTCTGCATCCTTCAGGATTCTGTGATGTCTAGCTTCAAGGTAATTGAAGATGATTGCTCAGAAAGTGGTAACTGAAACAATTGATTTGCAGATATAGCTTGGTATGCTATCACACTGATCGTTGGTTTCTAGCTAGAGAAATCAATAAATTTCATATTCACTCTCACAGTTGGGAGCGAAGCAGAGAAGCCAGAAAACCTAATGAGGCTGATATTTCTAATAAAATTATTCTTTTACTTAAGAAGATACATTCCAGTAAGGTACTTACCAGAATGATTCAGATAGCCGTTCCGAAAAGGGAGAAAATGAGCATTATGAGGTTATAAAGCCTGACCTTCCTCTTTGCATCCTCCTCGATCTTCTGCTTCCATTTATCAGGCATGAAGCCTGAGAACAAATTGACTATAGAATTTCTCTGGTTCATTTTTCGCTTAATTTTTTACAATTGACTTTTCTAAATTGGGGTTTTGGGGTTTTGGGGTTTTGGGGTTTTGGGG